AGTCGCTGGTGTCCCCTCTACCTCCTCATCACTGCCCCTCCCACCCTTTAAGAACAGTGGTGTGATTGTCTCTCTCTCTGCCGAGGTGGCTGCTTTTCCAGTCAGAAGACTGGAGCTGTGGGTGTTTGGAGTGGAGTTGCCTTTTGGGATCAGCTTTCCTTGTTGCCGTAGGGCAGAACTTTGAAGGTCTGACCTACTGTATCACACCAGGTCTGAATGTATTCTTTATTCTTCCTCTGGCATTGCGATCAATTTATCATGAGGGTTTTTTTTTTATACATTTCTATTGGTTGTGGGAAAGTCTCCTTCATCCACATACATTTTTAACATTAGAACAAGTGGGTGTTATCCTGTATTAATTTCTTCATGGTTGTTAAGAGAGGATGTGTTCATGCTGTGTGAGGCATTGAGAATGCAAAGCTGATGAAGTTTCAAGAAAGACACAGTAGATTGGGTGTGGTGCATACACACACACACCTTTATTCCCAGCACTCAGGAGGCAGGGGTAGGTGTGTCCCTGAGTTTGAGGCAAGCCTGGTCTACATAGCTAGCTCCAGGGCTACATAATGAGATCCTACTTTAAAAAAAGTTTTAGGGCTGTAGGGATGGTTCCATGGTTAGGAGCACTGGTTTTTCTTCAAAAGACCTGGATTTGATTCCCAGTACACCCACAGGGCAGCTCACTACTGCCTGTAACACCAGGTCTGGGGGACATCCATACCCTCTTCTGATCTCCACTGTGGTACACAGACATGCATGCAGGCAAAACATTCATACACATCCAGGCTTCCAACACTGTCTAGCAGTTAAAGTAAATCTTAAATTTAGTTTTAATTACAATTCAGTAAATAACAATTGCTAGAACCTAATAATAAGTCAGCATCTTGGGATCTAAATTTATCTCTTTAATTTTGAACTAGGGCTCCCTAAATATTTCAAGCTGGCCTCGAACACACCTTCTGAGTATTGAGACTACATACAGTTGTTACTGCCACACCTAGCTTCTTGCTGTTTTGATTAGTGACTCCCTTTTTACTCACTGTAGAGCAGGCTTCTTGTACTTTTCCCTTTGAGACTTTTCATCCAAGACACTTACATGACTCCTAGCATATAGGCATATGAAATAGTTATACAAACCAAAGATTTATTGATAATGATAAGTTTATTTTAAAATAACTCTTTGGTATACAGTTACTTTTTTATGTACTAGAAATGAAAACAACATTTCATACCGACAGGTGGATGTGCTTGTTTATTTTTGTTTTTTTTTGAGACCGGGTTTCTCTGTGTTCCTGACTGTCCTGGAACTCACTCTGTAGACCAGACTGGTTTCTCGAACTCATAGAGATCTGCCTGCTTCTGCTTCCCAAGTGCTGGGATTAAAGGAGTGCTTATTTATTTTTAATGTCAGAAATATGTGTGTAGGGCCACTTCAAAAATTGTTGAAAATCGTGTTCTAATCCCAAGCCAAAATCTATGTAGCCATTTCTTATGAAACTCAAGTCAGCAACTCAAAAAGCAATATAAAAAAATAAACCCTAGGCCGAGTGGTGGTGGCACACACCTTTAATCACAACACTGGGAGGCAGAGACAGGTTGATCTCTGTGAGTTTGAGAGCCTTGTCTACAGAGCGAGTTCTAGGACTGGTTCCATAGCTATTGAGAAACCCTGTCTTGAAAAACCAAACTCAAACCAAACCTCTTTTTTTTTTTTTGACAACTTTATAGATGTGTATAATATATTCCGGTGATAGTCATCTAAGTAGAACTTTTGTTTGTTTGTTTTGGTTTTTGAAACAGGGTTCCTTGTGTAGCCCTGGCTGTCCTGGGACTCTCTATGTAGACCAGAGTTTCAAACTCACAGAGATTCATACCTGCCTCTGCCTCCCAGTGCTGGTATTAAAGGCACGTGCTACCAATGCCTGGTAACAGAATGGAACATTTTAGCATAATCTAAAGATACACTAATTCTGTACTTAACATGCTGCCGAGTAACAGTAGGAAATAAGTGTTTGATTTCCATAATTAAATCATTATGTTTATAAGAGCAGAAAGGCTGTATGTACAGTGAAAGACTTGTAATTCATAACATGCAGTAGTCTCAGCTAGGCGTTGAGCTGTTTCAGGCAGCATGATGACGGTGGGTGCCTTGCACTGCTCTTGCTTTGTTCAGAACCAAGGTTGCAGCAGTCTCCTGATGCAATGCAGTGCATGCCCCAGCAACACCTAGGATTCATTAGGTCATTGCCAATTAATATGTGGTTGTTGCATGTTCACAGACCTTTTACTGTTGCCAGTTTTTCTGTGAATTCTCCAGAAAAGCCCTGTATGGAGTCATTTAAGAAACTGGCCTCCAGGGGCTGAAGAAAGGGCTCATCAGTTAAAAGAAATGACTGTTCTTCCAGAGGACCCTGGTTCAGTTCCCAGCACCCACATTGCAGCTCACACCCATCTGTAACTCCAGGTCCAGGGCTTCTAACACTCACACAGACATACATACAGGCAAAACACCAATGAACATGATAAAAATGAATTATATATGTAAAAGAAACTGGGTTCTAGAGAATTTTGTTAAAAATCTTACCCCTGGCTTCCTAAGTGTAAAAATAGGTAAATTTTAGCTCATTGTAGTATGCTGCACCCCACATGATAAGTTGGACAAAAGGGAGAGGGCTTAGGGAACATTTGTGTGTGTGGCATGAGTGTGTACATTGGCATGTTCATTCAGGTGTATATTGTAAAGTCATAGGCTACACAAGACACTGCTTTCAAAAACTGAAAAGTAGGAAGAGTGTGTTTGTGTGAAGAAAATGAAATTAAGTACATGCATGCTTGTAAGCCTAGTCTCTTGTGAAGTCGAGGCAGGAAGATTATAGGTTCAAGGTCTGCTTGAGCTACTTACGGTTTTAAAGACTATAAACAGGACTGGAGAGGTAGCCTGTTGGTAGTCATTAGGGGATTTTCCTAGTGAGGGGGAGTGGAAAGATAAACCATAAATCTGATTTGTTGGGTTTTTGACAAAGGGTCTCTTGTAGCTCACACTGGCTCCAAATTTACTATGCAACTGAAGATGACTTTGAAATCATAATTCTCCTGCCTCCACCTTCTAAGTGCTATGATTGCGGGTGTGTTGCACCATGCTGTGCTAATAATACTTGTTAACTTAATAGAGAGTTGGTGTCTTTATTTATTTTTTTTTTAAGGCAGCGTCTCACTATGTAGACCAAGCTAGCTTCATACTCAGAGATACTTCTGCCTTCAAGTGCTGGGATTAAAAACATGCTCCACTATACCCTGAACTAGTGTCTTGACTGTGGCTGACATCATGGATATGTAATCTGTGTAGTCACCCACGGTTCCTTACTGATGGAACAGTGCTTAATTTAATACCAACACATTCTCTGTCTTAGAATTCTTAATTTTTGAATGAGTAGCTCTGCATCATTCACTGATTCATTCATTCATTTTTGAGAGTGGGTCTCAACTATGTAGCCCTGACTGGCCTCAAACTCACAGAGATCCATGTTTTGGTGCCTCCTGGGTTCTAGGATTAAAAGTGTAAGCCACTATGCTTGACTTGCTTATTAAAATTCTTTTAAAATTTATTTTTAATTACTTTTGCACCTGTGTGTAGGTATGTGCACATGAATGCTGGTGCCTACAGAGGTCAGGTTGTTTGATTTCCTCAGAGCTGGAGTGAGTTAGTAGGTGCTGTGTAAGCTGCCTGATGTTGGTACTGGTACTCAAATTTGGGTCCTCTGGAAGAACAATACTAAAAATTTCTTTCTCTAGCACTAAATACTCTTTTTTTTTTTTTTTTTTTTTTTTTTTTTGGTTTTTCAAGACAGGGTTTTTCTGTGGCTTTGGAGGCTGTCCTGGAACTAGCTCTTGTAGACCAGGCTGGTCTCGAACTCACAGAGATCCGCCTGCCTCTGTCTCCAGAGAGCTGGGATTAAAGGCACGTGCCACCACTGCCCAGCAGCACTAAATATTCATATGATGATAAGGATTTACATTTAGGATTAGCCAGCTGGACTGTGGTGATCATGACTTTGTTGGCAGTGTCCAGAGAATCCTAGTCAGCAGCCAGATGAATGGACGCTGCCTTCCTCCATTAGGCTGGACCCAGGGTGTTGACCTTGGTGATGTCAGTGTTAACACAGTTTCCATATCCTGTTTGATCTGGTGCTTGTTAGCCTTGACATCTGCACTGAGCTGTGTCATTGTTGTCTTCTCTCTCAATAGTCAGGGGACACCTCGTGGTAGCCTTGTGGTTAAGCTGGTTTTTCCAAGTCTTTTGTAATTACAGTGGTAATGGGCCACCAGAATGCAGACAGACAGGTGGACTGTTCAGTTTGCATTCTTATCATCTAAGCTTTGCTTTGGGTTTAGACATTTCCTTGCAGAACCATCTTGGGGGAAGGGGCTTGCATTTGTTGTTGCTTTTAATTAATTTTTTTTTTGAGACTGGGTTTTGCTGCATAGCTCTGGCTAACCTGAGGAGTCCTGCATTTCTTTTCTTTTCTTTCCTTCTTTTTTTCTTACTATATCCTATAAGTTATTTAGTTAGCTTGATCTTGACTATATAAACCTACTAATAAGGAAAAGATATGAGATTTTTAAAAATGGTCCAAAACTGAGGACAATGGAGTATGGATCCGCAACATAAAATTTTTTAACCTTGTTAGATCTTCAGCCTGTTCATTTTCTATTTATTTATTTATTTATTTATTTATTTATTTATTTATTTATTTATTTATTTATTTATGTCAAGACAGGGTTTCTCTGTATTGCTTTGGAGGATGTCCTGGAATTTGCTCTGTAGACTAGGCTGGCCTGTCTCTGCCTCCTGAGTGCTGGGATTAAAAGCATGCGCCACCAATGCCCGGCTTTCAGCCTGTTTATTAAGTGTGTGTTATAAGCAGTCAAATGCTGTACATGTAGTAAACACTTAACATTATCCCATCTTAATACTTTGTCTTCAACCTTTTATTTTTCAGTTTTTCTTCTAATCGGAAAAGGTCTTCATGAATACTTCACTTTTAAACATAAGTAATTTCATACATTCCTAAAAGACTAAAATGGGGGCTGTTGTTTTGAGGTAAGTGTCCAGTTTTGTAGACTTTATTTCTTACTCTCTTACAAAGTTGAATATAGAAGGGAAGTATGAATATTGGTTGCCTTCTAAGTTTTTTTCTACAGGGCTTGTGTGTGGGGCAGTCCTAGGCCTCTCTTTAAGATGGACTGAGCATATACTGAGGACTGCTTCATGTGGAGGGGGTTTTTGCATATTTATTTGCTGTTGTTATTTGTTTGAAACTATAGTTCAAACTGGCCTGAAATTACCATATAGCACAGGCTTCCCTGAAACTTGAGCTTTTTCAGTCTGGAGTCCTGGGATCAACATTAGTGAGAAACACTACTGGATAAAGGTGTTTTTTATTATTGTTGTTTTAAATAAAGATTTGCCAGGTGTTGTTGAGAGCATAAGGCCATTCCTAGCCCAGATAACAAAAGCAAACATAAAACCAGCCTGCTCTTACTAACCTATGAGTTTGTACAGCTTATTTTTTATTATATGTATGTGAGTGCTTTATCTTGAATGTATGTGTGTATAGTGCCTTTGCAGGCCAGAAGAGGACATCATCCTCTGGAACTGGAGTTACAGCAAGTTGTGAGCCACCGTGTGGGTGGTGGGAATCAGACTTGGGTCCTCTGGAAGAGCAACAAGTGCTCTTAACCTCTGAGTCATCTCTCCAGCCACACAAGTTTGCACATTTCAGAAGAAGCTAGATAACTTTTACTGATCTATTGCCCTTTTTTGGTGTATGACAATACTGGAGATTGAACCTTGGGTGGGCAAGTGCTCTACCACATAGCCTTAATTTTACTAATCGTTTATTTTGTGCGTATGGTGTTTTGCATGCATGTATGCACTTGCAACACTTGCGTGCTTGACTGGAGTGGCAGCCAGTTGTGAGCTGCTATGTAGATACTGGGAATTAAGCCCAGGGCCTCTGGAAGAGCAGCTGGTGGTCTTAATCACTGAGCTGTCTCTTCCAGCCTCGTTTATTTCCGATGTTTTTTTGTTTTGTTTTTGAGACAGTCCCATTATCAATATAGCTTGGACTGGTCTGAAACTAGCTCTTAGACTTGATTGGCTTCAAACTCAAAGTAATCTAACTGCCACTGCCTCTTGAGTGCTGGGGTTAAAATCATGTATCATTTATGCCTGGCTGACAGGTTTTTGAAACAATCAAATCAGGGAAATCTTGCAGCACGATCAGGGTGAGTCAGGGAGAGTAATGAGACACATGATATGTAAGTGGAGAGGGGAATACCGTGAGCGGAAGGGAACGGGCAGAGGCAGAATGGAAAGGTGAGGGGAGGCAGGGTGGAGACGTAGGGTGGGCAGGGTGAAACCTTGGGGTGGTCAGGGTGGGTGTGGGGCAGGGTGGGTGTCAGGGTACCAATCCAAACTTACTACCTATGCATGAATATGCCTTAAGGAAACTTGTTACTTTGTATGCTAATTAAAAAAGAATGATCAATGTGGGGTTATTGGTTTGAAACACGGGCTCACTCTGTAGCCCAGGCTGGCCTCGACTTCCAGAGTGCTTAAATTATAGGCATGCACCACCATGTCTGTGAGCAGTGTTAATGTTCTTGTCTAGGTGTTACAGCTTTAACCCAGTATCTCACACACACTGAGCATGTGCTCTGTCTGCAAGTACACCTCCAACTGAATATAGCTATTATACTTTTCCTTGAAAACTACGAATTTAAAATTTGTTTTGGTTTTCTTTTTTGTGGTTTTGTTGTTGATTATTGGGACAGGGTCTCATGTAGCATAGTCTGGTCTCTAATTCTTTTCTATGTCTGAGGTTGACTTTAAACCCCTGATACTTCTGTCTTTACCTCCCAAACATTGGGATTGGACGAATTTACCACCATGGGTTTTTTGTTTTTTTTTGAGACAAGGTTTTATTTAGTCCCTGCTGGCTTTAAAGTCATTATGTTGCTGAAGATGACTTTGAATTCCTGAACCTCCTGTCTCCTTGCCCTTAGTGCTATGATTATAGGCAGGTGCCACCAAGCCTGGTGTTGATATGTCTTAATTTGAAAGTTTATTATGTTTATAAACCCTGAGTGAGCAGAGTGGTCCAGTTTTAGCCTGCCTGCCAGAGTTTGGGGAAGAGGGTGTCCTACCTCCAGTTCTGTTTCGTTGCTCAAGGGTACTTTTCACTAACATCACTGAATGTTTATACAGTTGGAAATGATGTTCATAAAGATCTTATTGAGTGTCTACCTGGTCCTTTGATAATGCAATGGCAGTGTGCATTTTGCTTTTACTCAGAACTGATCAGATTGTCATGTAGTCTGCCTTAGACAGGAAGGACACTATGAAAGCTGTGACTGTCTGCATGGCATGACCTTTCAAAACTGTTTTTTTTATGTTGCCAGAATCCCATTTAGCCTTTTGATTGCCACACGACAGAGGAAGTAGTAGATTAAGGACAGTATAAATGTCTGCTTGTTCTCAGTCCAGTTTTCCAGTGGAAGAGGATGTTGAATAGTCTATTACATGTGAAAGCTTAGGTTAAGGCATTCTTAAAATATTATTATTATTATTGTGTGTGTACGAGAGAGACAGAGAGACTGAGAGAGAGTATACACGCCACCACACCATGCTCATATATTCAGAGGACATCTTTGTCCAGTCGGTCCCTTCCTTCCACTTTTATGTAGATTCCAGAGATTAAACTCTGGCTGTTTTCCCCTGCTGCTGCAAGCGCCTCTGCCTAATAAGTTGTCTCACTGGTCCAGGTTTGTTTGTTTTAGATTATTTTATTTTATTGTTTGGTGTTTGAGAGGGTTTTTCTATGTAGCCATGGCTATCCTGGAACTTGCTCTGTAGACCAGCCTGGCCTCGAACTCAGTCTAGTCTCACTTACCTCTGCTTCCCGAGTTCTGGGATTAAAGGCATGCCCTAACACCACCTGACAATTTATCTTACTTTCTGTGTGTGGATATTTTGCTCCCATGTATGTATGTCTGTGTACCTCATGTGTGTCTGGTGCCTACAGAGGTCAAAAGTGGCTGTGGAATTCCCTGGAACTGGAGTTGTGGACAGTAGTCAGCTGCCATGTGGGTGCTGGTAATCCGCCCAGGTCCTTTGTAAGGACAAGTGCTCTTAACTGTTGAACCATTTCTCCAGCCCAAAGGTGTTTTTTTTTTGTTTTTGTTTTTGTATTTTTTTTGGTAAAAGTCTTCCAGTTATACTTTGGTCTTCTATCATTCTCCACCTGTTTCTTTGAAACATAGTCTCTTCCTGAACCTGGGGTTCACATTTTCATAGCTAGGCTGGAAGCCATCAAGCTTGGGCAACCCTCATCTCTATCCTGGTCAGAGCTAGGGTACTGATATGCAGTGAGTGATACCTGGCTTGTTCTATGGGTGGTGGGTTCTGAACCCCTGTCCTCATGATTATGCAGAAAGTACTCTTATCTAAGGAGTCATCTTTCCAGCCCCAAAAGTTACTGGTTTATGTATTCTAAGTGTAATTTTATAAAGTGGATTGTACAGATTGAGTTTCCTAATCTGAATGCTCCATAATCCAGACTTTGTGTATGTGGTATTGGGAATTGAGCCCAGAGCCTTATAGGAGCTCAGGTATCTTTAATGGTGTTATAAACAGCAGTTAGCAGGATACAAAGCCTTGTTACAGTCTATAATGTGTATTCTGTCTTAAAATTCGGAGGAAAAGACAAAAGTTACAGCAGGAAGTTGGACAGGTGCGTGGTCGGAACGTAAAGGTGGCAACAGTGCTGAGAGCAGTTGCAGGGACCAGAGCTGGAGTTTGACTCTGTTAACACCAGCACCGAAACCACAGGACTAGAGAATGAGTTCCCATCACATGGCTCTTCATGCCAGGCTGTCACTATGAAAACTTACAAGCATAAAACATGAAGTAGGGGGCTGGAGAGATGGCTTAGCAGTTTTAAGAGCACTGACTACTCTCCCAGAGGTCCTGAGTTCAATTCCCAGCACCCACATGGCAGCTCACAGCTGTCTGTAACTCTAAGATTTGACAGCTTCACATTGAGAGACATGTAAATTACCAATGCATATAAAGTAAAAAATAAACATAAAAAATTTTAAAGATTGAGTGAGGCTGGGAAAGTGGCTCAGTGATTAAAGTTCTCTCTGTGCAGGCAGCAAATTTGAAGACCCCGGAACCCAGGAAATTCTGGGTTAACTTCTCAGCCTGCCTGTAATTCCAGCACCTGGAAGGGGGAGATGGGGTCCCCTAAGTAAGCTGGTTAGCCCAGTTGTTCCTGTGAGCTCAGGCTTAATTGGAGAGACTGCCTCAGTGAATATGATGGAGAGCAATGGAGGAAGACTCATAAGTTAGCCACAGCCTTCCACGTACTCAAACTTTCAGATAGAAACATACATGCTCATCACACACACACACACACACACACACACACACACACACACACACGCACGCACGCACGCACGCACGCGCACGCACGCACGCACGCACGCGCCTGTGAAAGACTTAAACTTATAGAGAACAGTGGAAATTAGACCTGTGTGTGATACCCTGGGTAACATTAGTGCTTTGCTCTTACTCTTCCTTTTTACTGAATTTTCTTTCATTTTTTTACCTTTTATATCTTTATGATCTTGATCTGTCTTTGCATCTCTAATAATATTTATTTTTTTTTATTTTTTTGAGACAGTTTCCCTGTATAACCCCAACTAGCTGTAGACGAGGCTGACCTCAAACTCACAGAGATCCACCTGCTTCTGTCTCCTGAGTGCTTGGATTAAAAGTGTATACCACCATTCCTTGTGGTTTTAATTTTGATTTTTTGTTTGTTTGTTTTTGAGAGGGTCCTACAATGTAACCAAGCTATCCTGGAACTTAGTTTGTGGCCTGGAACCAGCAGGGACCTTCCTTTCTCAACAATATGTCAGCTGCTTTTTATAATTAAGTAAATTGAATCTTATGGTATGTGTTCTTTTGCCCCTCCCCCACCCATCCTTTCAAGAATTGAGACAGTGTCTCACATTATTTCAAACTGTCCTGGA